AGCGTAATGCAATTCAAGTGTTCTATACGTCTCCATTAAGTTTAAAGTTGTGTATAATATTTATCTCTTCATTTGGAGTGAGGCCACAGAGTAGTTCATTGGGCTTCGTTAGATAATGGCCCTGACAACAGCTCTATTGTCGCTGCTGGCACACGCTGGCACACGCTCCGGGTCAGTGGCTCTAGTCAGAGTCAGCTGACCACCACACACCAGCTCCAGACGGCTCCAGCGTGAACAGAGGCTCCCTGCACTGGCCCTGAGAGCATGGGGGACGGATGGACAGGGGGAGAGGGGGCAGACGACCGGGTGTGTGGATTCACCAGTGTACGCTGGTTATATATTGTCAGGAAAGTTATTTGTTGGTGTTTCAGCATTAAACGTTTGTTAGAATAGTGTCACATCTTTGACTGCAGGGATCTGCAGCATACATGGTTCATGGGGATGAGCAATGGTCATTAATGTTAATGTTAATGGTCCTGCACTAGCACAATTTCTCTCCTGCTGCTGTGAAAACCATTGCTTGGACTTAAATGTTGCAAAGACCAAGGACATGATCATTGATTTCAGACGCGTTACATCCAATGACTCCAGCGTCATCCACGGTGGGAATGTGGACATCGTGGACAGTTACAAGTATCCTGGACAACGATGGACAATAAAGTGAAGTTTAACATAAACACTGAGTCTATCATTAAACGATCGCAGCAGAGAATGTACCTGTTGAGGAAATTGAACTCTTTTAATGTAAACAGGATCATTCTTAGTAATTTTTATTGTTCTTTTATTGAGAGCCTTCTTAGCTTTTCTTTTATCTGTTGGTTCCAAAGCCTGACGCTGAAGGACAGAAACAGGTTACAGAGTATTGTGAGAACTTGCTCCAAAATCACTGGAGGAAAACTCAGAGATCTTCACTCTTTGTGGGAGGAACAAGTGCTGAATAAAGCAAAATGTATTCTGGCTCTGCCCAAACATCCTCTGATGGCTGACTTTGTAATAATGCCTTCAGGGCGTCGCTTTTATGCTTCAGCACGGAAAACAAACCGTTTTTCCAATTATTTTGTGCCCTCTGCCATAAAACTGTTGAACTCTGGTGGAGGTGTTTGACTTTTGGGAATTGTGTTGTTCAGTGTTGTTTTTGTAACTTATTTTGTGTAACCTGCTGCTGTGTGAACTGTGAGACTCACTGTGTGTTTGTGTAGAGTATGTGTCTTCTGCTGTGAGTTTATGTTGCAAATGAATTGCCCGTTGGGATCAATAAAGTTTTAATTCTTGTTTATTAACTACCACTTTTATTTTGGCAGTCCCGCATAGTGGGTGCTTCCTTCTGTTCAGTTCATGACAGCTTTGAAGACGCTGCATGTTTAAGTTTGTGAACAACTTGGCAATCAAAAAATAAATATTTGTAATTCTGAAGTCAACTATACTGTATCTACTGTATACTGCTTAAATCAGTTCATTTGCAAAGCATGGGGGTGGAAACATGATTGTCTGGGGCTGCTTTTCCACAGAGACAGGATGACAGATCCATATTATGGGAATGATAAAGAGAGAGAGAGAAAGAGAAAGAGAAAGAAAAAGAGAGAGAGAGAAACAAAACAGAAATTGTATGCGTTATACTTTTTTAAAAATCCAGTTCATTTGTCTTTTTCAATCAATCAATCTTTATATTTAGAGTGCTCTTCCTACAAATAGTAACACAAAGCGCTTCCCAGTCCAAAACACACAAAGCACAAATCATCACATAAAAACTCATTTAAAATCACAGGTAATTCAACAACACAGTAACATTTTTCGGTTTACCTCCATCTGAACGGCTGAAGAGGAGGAGAGTAGACTGCACCGAGAGCACCATATGCCTGAGCTCTCACTGGACACTGACCAGGGCTTTGCAACAGATGGACACAGCAGAGAAGGCAGCGCTTCCCAAACTCTGGACCTCACACCAGACTGGAGCGGTAGACAAGCATGACATGTCCTGCTAATTGAGAGATCAGCGAAAGGGCAGCGAGACAAAACATACATACAAGGTTTAGTTACTTAAGTTTGGTTTGAGATGCATAACATTTTTAATGGAGGATGTAGCTGCTTTGTGTTGAGTTTATTGTATTTGTTATTCATTCTTAAGCACGCCATTGATTAAGAAGGGAAAGAAAAAGCTGTCTTTCTGAAAAAAAAGCCTGTAAAATATTGAGGCCGACGGAGGTAAAAATCTTTATCTCTTTTTCTTCTTTCTTGGAAAATATGTATAAAACCTTTATTGTAAGGAAGTATGGCCTTCCTCACAGTGACAAACCTGAGGCCATTGAAGCTGATGATTTTAAAATATATTCTCAGAACAATGTTAGTGACTGGATATTGTGTCTTTCCAATCATCTCCCATTCATAAGATTTTATTGAGGGAGAAATAGTTGCTTTTCGCCTCTAAAGATCCATCTCTCTCTCTCCGGTCACTTTGGTCTCATGATACACAGCCCATTCAACCTTCCCATTCAGCAGCCCCAGACCATCATGTTTCCACCCCCACGCTCCACAGCGGGTGTGCTGTTCTTGGCATACAACTCAATTATTCCCCGTCAAATAAAGAACGTTTTTTACCAAAATACCAAAGTTTACTAAAGTTCTGTTTTGCTCTCATCTGACCACATGATATTCTCCCAGGACTCTTCCACATCACCCAGATGGTCTGTGGAAAACTTTAGCCAGACCAGGGCATGAGCTGGCATCAGCAGGAGGAGCTTTGAGCGCTGCATCCCAAGAACACCAAACCCACTGTGAAGCATGGGGGTGGAAACATGATGGTCTGGGGCTGCTTTACTGCAGGGGACAGGATGACTGATCCAATATTATGGGAAGGATGAGAGCAGCCATTTATTGAGAGATGAGACCAGAGAGAAACCAGAGGGAGACAATAGAGAGACCAGAGAGAGTGTATAGAAAAGTCTTGGTGAAAATCCTGGTGTCTCCGTCGTCTCCCCCTCACATCTCACACATGGGAGGAGCTCCACACATGACTGATGGACACAGGGGCCTTCGTCCGTCAGTTCCCAAGGCTTTGATTGTGTGGCCTGGGTTCGCATTTCTCCAGCTCCTGTCCCATGATCCAAACATTGTGGATCCGGTTACAGAGGAAGAGGAGGGAGAAGGAGGAGGGGGAGGGGGAGGTCAGAACTGTGACATCTACCTCTGAAAAACACAGTATTTTCACACACAGCAGCAGTCAGAGCTAAGACAGGCCTGGACTTGTACTTTCACAGCTACACATGTTACTTTGACCTGTCTGAGGAGAGCTAGTTTGGACACACGTTATCAATACATAAGAAACTTTATATGAAATTTACAAAAAGTACCACAGATGTTTGTTCCCACCATTGGAAATTGGTGTGAAGAATAGACAGAAAACAGGTTAAACATTAAAATATAGATCAAATAATAAGATTAAAATCTAAATTAAAAATGTGAAAGGAATACATGATATGGAGTGATTACATACAAAGAGGATATCAAGCCTGTGGCTCAGAGAATAAACTTTAAAGCACTTTTGCTTGTGTACAAGTTTCTCCATGGAGTACTTGGGTTTAAACCAGAGAGAGACCAGAGAAACTAGAGAGAGCAGAGAGAGATCAAATAGAGACCAAAGAAAAGCCAGAGAGAGAGAGACAGAGACCAGAGAAACCCCCTCTCTCTTCTTTCATGATATAGTCATTTTTTCCCTCATTAGATCTTATGCCTTGTGAACGTACTAAATGTTGCTCATTGCCTCTTTAAAAAAAGAAAAAACTAATTTCAGGTTAAAACAAACCTTGACTCAACTTTCGAACTGGATTTTTGTTTCTAAAACAAAACACACTGTATATTTGTTTATTATCGTGTATTCTTTCGTTTTTATTTTGTTGTTGTTCTTTGTTCTAGTTTGCCATGGCTCAAAATAAAGTATTCATTCATTCAAAAACCAAAAAGACAGAAACAAAGATTCAATATAATCAATTTATTAAGTGCAAAGAAAGAAAATTATTAACATCTGAGGAATACGAGGAAGTGAATACAGTTGGAACAGTGATCAGTCAGAACCAAACACAGTTCATTCATTTTTATTTTTACATTTCTTCCCTTTTAACTCTCAAACTTCCAGAGCAGTCAAATAGACGGCTTTTACATGACTGATGTACATTTGTGTCTTCATAACTCTTCTGTTTCTACATGTAGTTTCATTCTTTGTTAATCATTTTTATGAAATTATGTTTTTGAAATGTGAGGCGGCCTATCATTATCCCGCAAGCCGTCATTTTGACTGCTCCATACATTCCAATGTAAAATTCAAATAGAGCCATCAAATGTCCTGGACTGGTTCTGGATAGGTCCTGATATGGTCCTGGTCGTGTCATGGACTGGTTCAGGAATGGTTCTGAGCAAAGTTCTGGGTTTGGTTATCCATCAAAGTAGTACAACTCCTAGTTACCATAGCAACACACTGTTTACATACTGTTAGAATTAGCTTTTACACAAACGTTTTCCCCCTGGTTTTCAAGTTTCAATCCCCAGCTTTAGTACGTAGTAAAAGTAAATCAGTGTAGAAAAAAATTTCAGAAATATGTCACTTCATTGTGTTTTTTTTCAGAATTCCATTGGTTTGAATGGGAGTCCTAGTGTTGAGTCAACAGCAGCTTCACAGTGGATTCATGTGTTAGAACCCTGAGCTTCAGTCCTGCCCCAGTCCTGCTTCAGTCCTGCCTCAGTCCCGCATCAGTCCTGCCTCAGTCCTGCCTCAGTCCTGCCCCAGTCCTGCCTCAGTCCTGCCTCAGTCCTGCCTCAGTCCTGCCAAGTCCTGCCTCAGTCCCGCATCAGTCCTGCCTCAGTCCTGCCTCAGTCCTGCCCCAGTCCTGCCTCAGTCCTGCCTCAGTCCTGCCTCAGTCCTGCTAAGTCCATCTTCAGTCCTTCTTCAGTCGTTGGTGATGACCTTTCTACAGTCAGAGTTCACTTCAAGTCTTTGCTGCTCATTCATTTCACTTGTTCTTTCCGAGCGTGCGCTGCTTCTCCGCATGCTCCACGAGCTTCTCCTCCACGTACAAACCTTTTCGCCGTCTCACTGCGTTCATGTATTTCAGAGCCTGGTTATCCGAGTCGGCTTTCTCCCCAAAGTGTAGGTACTCCTCCTCAGTGGTCGGTACCCAGTAAGGGTCACTGCTGATCACCTGGACACACCAGAAAAGAGAGTGTTACTGCTGTGGGACTATAGAGAGACTAGAGAAAGAGCAGACAGAACGACCAGAGAGACCAGGGAGAGAAACTAGAGAAAGAAATACAAGAAAAATATGTAAGAAACATTTAGGAAAATAATTGTGGATAGCCAGGTTGCTTTTGAGGAAAAGCATACAGCAATACTCTTAAAGTGATTGTCTGGAGTTTGTCAGAAAGAGAGACAGAGAGGTACTTGATTTGAAAAAAAAGACGCAAGCTCCCTCCCCCTTCCTTTCTGATTGGTCTACACCTACGTTTCCGTAACACTTTGAAATGTTAATCAGAGAACACATTATACATATACAGTGCCTTGCAAAAGTATTCGCCCCCCTTGAACCTTTCGATATTTCGCCACATTTCAGGCTTCAAACATAAAGATATAACATTTCATTTTTTATAATGAATCAACAACAAGTGGGACACAATCGTGAAGTGAAACTCAATTTATTGGATAATTTAAACTTTGTTAACAAATAAAAAACTGAAAAGTGGGGCGTGCAATATTATTCGGCCCCTTTACTTTCAGTGCAGCAAACTCACTCCAGAAGTTCAGTGAGGATCTTTGAATGATCCAATGTTGTCCTAAATGACTGATGATGATAAATAGAATGCACCTGTGTGTAATCAAGTCTCCGTATAAATGCAGCTGCTCTTTGATAGTCTCAGGGTTCTGTTTAAAGCGCAGAGAGAACCATGAAGACAAAGGAACACACCAGGCAGGTCCAAGATACTGTTGTGGAGAAGCCGGATTTGGATACAAAAAGATTTCCCAAGCTTTAAACATCTTAAGGAGCACTGTGCAAACAATTATATTGAAATGGAATGAGTATCAGACCACTGCAAATCTACCAAGACCCGGCCGTCCCTCCAAACTTTCATCTCAAACAAGGAGAAGACTGATCAGAGATGCAGCCAAGAGGCCCATGATCACTCTGGATGAACTGCAGATAACTACAGCTGAGGTGGGAGAGTCTGTCCATAGGACAACAATCATTCGTGCACTGCACAAATCTGGCCTTTATGGAAGAGTGGCCATTTCTCAAAGATATCCATAAAAAGTCTCGTTTAAAGTTTGCCACAAGCCACCTGGGAGACACACCAAACATGTGGAAGAAGGTGCTCTGGTCAGATGAAACCAAAATCAAACTTTTTGGCCACAATGCAAAACGATATGTTTGGCGTAAAAGCAACACAGCTCATCACCCTGAACACACCATCCCCACTGTCAAACATGGTGGTGGCAGCATCATGGTTTGGGTCTGCTTTTCTTCAGCAGGGACAGGGAAGATGGCTAAAATTGATGGGAAGATGGATGGAGCCAAATACAGGAACATTCTGGAAGAAAACCTGGTGGAGTCTGCAAAAGACCTGAGACTGGGACGGATATTTATCTTCCAACAGGACAATGATCCAAAACATAAAGCCAAATCTACAATGGAATGGTTCACAAATAGAATCCAGGTGTTAGAATGGCCAAGTCAAAGTCCAGACCTGAATCCAATCGAGAATCTGTGGAAAGAGCTGAAGACTGCTGTTCACAAACGCTCTCCATCCAACCTCACTGAGCTCGAGCTGTTTTGCAAGGAAGAATGGGCAAGAATTCCAGTCTCTCGATGTGCAAAACTGATAGAGACATACCCAAAGCCACTTGCAGCTGTAATTGCAGCAAAAGGTGGCGCTACAAAGTATTAGCGCAAGGGGGCCGAATAATATTGCACGCCCCACTTTTCAGTTTTTATTTGTTAAAAAAGTTTAAATTTTCCAATAATTTCGTTCCACTTCACGATTGTGTCCCACTTGTTGTTGATTCTTGACAAAAAATTTAATTTTTATATCTTTATGTTTGAAACCTGAAATGTGGCGAAATGTTGAAAGGTTCAAGGGGGCCGAATACTTTCGCAAGGCACTGTACATTATTAATACACATGCACGGAGGTTTTCAGAATTATTTGTTAATGTTTTTATGAAAAAAAGAATGTTTTTTATGCACAAAAAAGCGATCGCGGCAAACCCGGAAGTGCTATTATCATGAATTGCACATTATAGGACACACCTGCAGAGGATCTGATTATGGATATAGGTTCAGTATATACATAAGTACCTCAGCGCGGATGTTCAGAATTCTTTGTTCAGTTTTCATGTAGTTCCAGAGCCTAATAGAGGCTTGATTCGGAGGCTCCGTGAAAACAAACAACTGAGCATGTGCGCAGCTGCGAGCATCAGCGCTGATGATTGACAGCCCTTGGCATGACTCGATTGGTTAACCTCGACGGCACAGTGGATTCTGAGCTATAGCTAAGAGAAGTGAAGGCGGGACTTACCTGTAATATTAGAATTAATAAAATGACTTATTTTATATCAATATTTAAGGCCAGGAGGTCAATTTAACACATTTCCTAAAATTTGTAATTCATTTAGAGTTACAGACTATCACTTTAAGTTAACAATACAAGTTTACCTCAGTCGGGTAGTTTTGTCCAGAGAGAGAAAAGAGAGAGACCAGGGAGAAAAAGAGAGACCAGAGAGACTGTGTGTTTTTTATTCCTACTGTAATGTACAGAAGTTCCTCACTGTGGGACAAATAGAGCTTTCTTGTCTTTTGACTATTTAACATCTACTTTCTCAATAAACAGGGCCATCAAAAAGGTTTGCAGCCGAGTGTGAAGCGGCTGGGATGAGAATCAGCACCTCCAAATGCGAGGCCATGGTGCACGACCGGAAAAAGGTGCCTTGCCCTCTACAGGTGGGTGGGGAGGTCCTTCCTCAAGTGGAGGAGTTCAAGTATCTCGGGGTCTTGTTCACGAGTGAGGGAAGGATGGAGCGTGAGATTGACAGGCGGATCGGTTCAGCGTGCGCAGTGATGCGGTCGCTGTATCGGACCGTTGTGGTAAAGAGAGAGCTGAGCCGAAAGGCAAAGCTCTCGATTTACCGGTCAATCTTCGTCCCCTCCCTCACCTATGGTCATGAGCTTTGGGTAATGACCGAAAGAACGAGCTCGCGGATACAAGCGGTCGAAATGAGCTTCCTCCACAGGTGTCGCTGCTTAGACTGCTGCCCCCGCGACCCGGCAACGGATGAAGCGGAAGAAAATGGATGGATGGACTGTTTTGTTTGGGGAGATATCTAAGATTTGGGGTAAGACTTTAAGGCATGTCCCAATTCTGAGGGCACTCGAGTTGTGAGTACCGTCAACAGAAAAGTGCCCTTCCATAGTGGAGTGCACTTGTAGGATATTCTCCCTAAGAAATGGGACATCCAAGGATCTAGGGGACAATATGCAAATGACGCAGCAAACGAGTTTCACGTCAAACGCAATATTGACGTGTCTGATGTCACCACAGATAAGATATGACACAGATATGACAAAATATTTGTTAAATGAGACGTTTTTAATTGTATTTCAAATGAAGATAATTATGGACAGGACGGCTCCATGTCACGCACACAAACGCACACAGAGACAGACACACACGTACACACACACCCAGAGACAGACACACATGTGCGCACACACAGAAAGAGACAGATACACACACAAAGATAAACACACGTACATACATGTACGCACACAGAGACAGACGGTACAGCTGCAGATCAAAAAGCTGTCAAAGCTATAACATATGTCTCTGAGGTCTCAGTCAACGCCACATTCTGCGGCCGCTTCTGAGCGAACGTTACCTCCACATACGGCACCAGCACACACTTAAAAAAACTGTAAATTACCAACACACGCCTCAAAACTTCCACACGTTCAGCACATGCTTGCGCCCGGGTTATTCATAAATGTTTTCTTTCATTCTGGCACGGCTTTGACTGACAGCTACTTTACCAGCTATCCTAATGCACCATGGGATCACCTGCAAGTGACCTCCGGAGCTCACTTGCAAGGGGCCTTTTTAAGGGTGTGAGTACACTCGCCTCTGCTCCATTAGTATTGGGACACCCTACAACCCCCGCGGGCACTCGCAAAATCTAGGGCAAGAGGAAACAAATTTCGGAACAGGGCCTTTCTGAATGGAGTTTGCATGTTCTCCCCGTGTCTGCATAGGTTTCCTCCGGGTGCTCCGGTTTCCCCTACCACTAAAAACATGCACAATAGGTATGAATGTAAATGAGACAGTGAATGGATGGTGCTGATTGGGGGCTGATGTGTCCAGTGTGTTCGGCGACTCGCTTCCGTCATCACCGTGTGTGGAATGATTGGAACAATAACTGAACTCTGAACGTTGTAAAGTGCTTTGGGTGACCTTGGTCTGTAAAATGCGCTATATAAATAAACATTACTTACTTACTTAGAGGCTTTCTTGTTAGTGACATCCGCCCTAGGTCAGTCTATCCCCTCCATCAGCCTCTCGGGATAAAATGTTTTCTGCTTAATGAAGGCAGAAGGTTGTGGCCTGACTCGTCCTCAATGCTCTTCGCCAGGATTTACAGCCTGAGTCTTGGATCTACAGCCTCTCTCCTGGATCTACAGCCTCACTCCTGGATCTATAGCCCGAGTCTTGGATCTACAGCCTCTCTTCTGGATCTGTAGCCCGAGTCTTGGATCTACAGCCTCTCTTCTGGATCTGTAGCCCGAGTCTTGGATCTACAGCCTCTCTCCTGGATCTATAGCCCGAGTCTTGGATCAACAGCCTCACTCCTGGATCTATAGCCCGAGTCTTGGATCAACAGCCTCACTCCTCTCTTGGATCCCCTTTCTGGTAGCAGATCCCTCTCTCAACATGGGCCTGAGGTTTCACACCTTTTTCACTAGGTTTCTCGTTGATGCAGGACGGTCTTGGGACAGTGATGATCCGGGAAATTTCTGAACATTTCTGGACAGTGCTCATCCCGTTCCCTATGGACAAAGGGCTCTTATGTGCAAAAAGCATTCCCTGTGTTTGTGCTGTTTGATTCTCTGATCTGTTGTTGGTGATTCCACAAATGTGTAAAGTCCTCAGAGACGACTGCT